CTGCAGTATAATAGTACTCAGTGAGGTGGTATCTAGGAGTTCTGCAGCATAACAGTATACACTGAGGTGGTATCTGGGAGTACTGCAGTATAATAGTACTCATTTTTGGTATCTTGGAGTACTGTAGTATAATCGTACTCACTGAGGTAGTATCTGGTAGTACTGCAGTATAATAGTACTTAGTGAGGTAGTATATAGTAGTCCTGCTGTAAAGAAGTATTTACCGAGTAGATACTGTAGTATCTGGTAGGAGTCTTGTAGTACTGCAGTATAAGTACTCACTGAGGTAATATCTGGTAGAGCAGTGCCTCAGCTTTGCGTTTCTCCTCGTGGTACGCTTGTGTCCGCTCCTCCACCAGCTCCTCCAGGTTGTTGGCGTACTGCTCCATGCGGGACAGCAGATTGTCCAAGATGTTGCTCCTGGACTCTCTGGTCACACAGAACAGGACTTTGATGAACATTTTGTTGGGTTTTCACTACGTGTCCATCATCAGATCAGCCCTGTTGTTGGTTCTGGTGTCAGACCACTCAGATGAAGATGACCTCTCAGTGGAAACAGATACACAAGATGATGAAGATATCTGATTGAGTCTGGTATCCTGAATAAATACAACACTGGCCATTTCTACTCCATTCATGGAGAACTCAAACCCAACCTCATGGGAAAGATTCAGCACCCAGACTGATGTGGGTTCTTCTGGATTAGATGTTCCTCAAATTGCTCAGCTCTGATTGGTTCCTGGCTTTTTGTGGCTCTTTTCTGTCACACTCTTAGAAAACATCACTGCGTGATGACATCACCATCAGCTCTTACTTGTTGTGTTTACGCAGCATATGGCGGATGTGGTTGAAGTCGGGTCTCTCTGTCGGTTCTTCAGCCCAACAGCGCTGCATCAGCTGACCCAGCTCAGGACTGTGACTCTGGTGGTCCACGGTGGGCCTCAGGCAAGGCCACTCCCCTAGAATCACCCGGTCCACGATCTCTGCAGAGACACAGGACAGGTTTGATTCTGGCTCGGAAACAAAAAACAGGCCGGAGATTATCATCAGAAACCAGCCTCTAGGTTCATTCTGGACCCGTTTGTTCTGACATGATCTAAACCAGTTAGGTCTTCAGACATATCCTGGTGTTCTGTTTTACCTTTGGGGCTCAGCGGGTTGCTCTCCAGGTAGAAACCTCCTCGTCGCAGCGCCACCTCCTGGAGAATGATCCCAAAGCTGTAGACGTCTCCTTTCTGGGTCCCCTGAGGAGGAGGACACTCCATCCGGAGCAGCTCTGGAGCCATCCACAACTTTTCTACAGGTGAAGAACCAAATCAGACGAGCATTAGTACCGTGAGCCCTAACATTCCTATAGATAAACTTTAGACTGGCTCATGAAGGTGAAGACTCACGAGCGTAGAAAGCGTGAGCACTGCTTCCTGAGTCACTCTCAGATTGAAAGCTGGACAAACCATAGTCGGTGATCTTCAGGACGAAACGGGTGTCCACCACGCAGTTCGAAGATTTGAGTTTTCCATGAGAGAGGATGACACTGTTGTGGAGAAACACCATGCCCTACAGACACGGAGAAACGTGGACATGGAGCACCAGTCCAATATGAGATGGAGACAACAGCAAGTAGTAAGACATGGAGAAGCATGGACACAGAGCATCAGTAGAATATGAGATGGACAACAGGAAGAAGTAAATGGTAAATGGACTGTACTGTACTTATACAGCGCCTTTCTATCTTATTTCAAGATACTCAAAGCTCTTTACAACAATCTGTGTCCTCATTTACTCATTCATACAGCTCTATACTAGATCTCTACAAAGCTAATTGAACAAATCATTCTAAAGAGACTAATCAGAGCTTTAGATCACATTCAGACACTGATGGGACACACGTCAGAGGCTATGAGGGGGTCAGTGTCTTGCCCAGGGATACTTCGACATGTGACTGCTGGTGGATTTGAACCCCCAACTCTCGCATTGGAGGACGACTGCTCTAACCACTCAGCCACAGCCGCCCCACAAGAAGAAGTAAGACATGGAGAGACGTTGACACGGAGCATCAGTCCAATATGAGACAGACAACAGGAAGTAGTAAGACACCTTCACAATGTCGTTGATGAGAGAATACTTAAACATCCAGTCCAGAGTGATGCTGTCATTCTCCAGAATGTCCTGAGAACAGACAGACAGGAAGACATCAGTCCAACAACAGACAGACAGACAGAAAGACAGATGGACAGACAGGTGTACCTGTAGACTGCCGCGGGGGCAGTACTCTGTGATGATGCAGATGTTGGGAGGGTCAATGCAAGCTCCGACGAATCGGGTTAGGTGTTCATTTTGAACATCTCGCATCTGACAAGAAATGACAATAATGATTCCAGCACACCCTGGAAAGGTTTGGAGTCAGAGGTCCAGGTTCTCCAGGCTGGTCCAACAGGACCACAACACCACAGACAGAGTTTTGTTCATGGTTCCATAGTTAGATCTTTAGGTTCTGGTCTGGAACCTACAGATGAGTTGTTGGTTACACCCCCGCCCCGTAGACCCACTCACGTGTTTGAGTTCAAACAGAACCTTCCTGTTCAGCTCGATGCGTTTCTTGTTTACGTATTTGATGGCCACGATGTTCCCCTGGAACCAAACACAGGAACCGCATGAGCAGCTGTAAGCCAACCACAATGATGAAGAAGATGATGATGATGAAGATGATGATGAAAATGGCTGTATCAGGTCTCAGCTGAGAGTCAACAATCAGTTCATCAATGAGACGATAAACAGCTGAGCAATATTTAAATAAAGTGGCTCGGCCATGATTCGGACTCATCATCTTCATTATCATCATCGTCGTCATCATCTTCATTATCATCATCGTCGTCATCATCTTCATTATCATCAGGTTAAGAATGCTACACTCACCTTGTAGTAACCTGTCTTTGCAAAGATGTGAACGTTTCCGTCGGCGGTCATCAGGGAGCCGTAGTTGGACCCTTTCTGAGCCCAGACACAGTCAGTTTGTTAGAACCTTCCTCGCACTCATTGCTACATTTCTTTTAGCATGATTCTTTTTAATGGAAGAGGTGAAAGGTCACAAAAGTTTTTCACTCATTAATGTCAAGTGTATATGAACCGTGTGTGTGTTAAGAGTTGTTTTGTCTGGATAGAGTGGAGCTGCAGGAGCACGGAGCCTTTCAACTGAAAAACTCAAGGCCCACGCTGGAAGGCAGCGCCTCTGATAACATTAGAAAAAGACTTTTCTTTATGCCGGATTTTTCTACCTGGATTATTGAGCATGCATCAGGAGACTTTTCTTTATGCTCTCTCTGAGCAGACCTGGAGACAAAGCGACATGTAAACGTCTTGCCTGCTTGTACTTCAGCTCTGTTCCATCTTAAACCTGGGGTTAGAAAATATATCTACTCCTTCCTGTGTGGCTTATGTGAAAAGGATCATATTAAATGATCCTAACACTTTTAAACTGTCATGTTGTGCTACAGATGTGTGCTTTTTCTCTAGTTTCCTAACAAGCAGGAGTGTGCATGTGCACTTGTACATGCACACTCACCAGTGACAGAGTGATCCTGCTGCTGCTGCGCAGGACTTTGTCCAGGTTGCTCATCTGCATGTCATCCCAGGAGATCCTCCAGAGCTGAGCCACCAGTTCCTTCTCCAGCTTCATCCTCCTGCAACCGACGACAGTCCAAGAACAACAAGTTAGTCTAGAAATGGACCTTCATCCAGTCCAGAATCAAGTCAAACACTGTCAGACTATAAGTGTTAATGAGCAGAATGAAGATCATTAAGACCATTAAGATCCTGGAACTAGCAGGAAACACGGCTCATGACAGCAGAAGGACAGGATCGTCCCTCGGCACCTACAGTTGGCTGTCCGCAGCGACGAGGAGCTCGGCAGACTGCTGGGAGGAGTGGCCATCGCTCTGGGAGGAGTTCTGCTCTGCATTTGGGCGGTCCTACAGCCCGGGGGAACCGAGAGAGGCCAGCCGAATCTGGGTGGATGGATCAGACGGCATCTGCAGCCAGTTTCTTAGGATCCACTGAGGGATGGACCTTTACAAGAGATCCTTCCTGTCTACAGCATCAGCATCTATAACATCTCTTAATGAAATGAGGATAACGAGTTACAGCAACAAATCATTTCCCTTTGGGATTAATAAAGTATTTTTGAATTGAATTGAATTGAATTGAAACCAGTGTGCAGCTAGAGGAGCCAAGACTCTGGACAAGGTGTCCTCAAACATCAAGCTGGGACCTTATGAAGAGAGGTCCATCCTGTTGCTGAGCTGTCAGCCAATCACAGATCAGGCTACCATTCATCCAGTTTGGCTCTTTTCTCTCTTCTTGTGGATGGTTTGCTGGTTTGAGTGGGAAACTGTGAAACATTTTCCTGCCGGTGTTCAGAACGTCACAACTCGACTGCCTTTATGAGCATTATTGAACACAAATGTTGCTTTGAACACAACGGGACATTTAATAGTTTCAACTGCTTATCCTGTCATTCATATGTTTTTTTCCGTTTGAATATTTGTAAATGACAAAATAATTCATGTTTAATGGTTTAGAGCGTAAATTACTGCAGGTCCACTGATTAGTGCTTCACTTTATTTGTTGTTAATTCTTTGTTATTTCTTAATCAGGAACGTTTTATTTCTACAAAATCCAAAAATTATTCAAAATATTGTAGACAGACTGATACACGGATAGATGGATGGATAGATGGATGGATAGATGGATGGATAGATGATAGATGGATGGATAGATGGATGGATAGATGGATGGGTAGATGATAGATGGATGGATAGATGGATGGATAGATGATAGATGGATGGATAGATGGATGGATAGATGATAGATGGATGGATAGATGGAAGGAT